AGTTCAAATTTTTTTTTTTTTTTACTGGAGTCTGAACTACAGCCTTGGAATTTAATGTAAGATGGTTGTCAGTTTGCTCCTCTAGATGGCACCTGCTTTTGATACATGAAGAACAATTAACTCACTAGGAAAAAAGAGTATCTGGTGATGAAAGAGATGCTTTCTCTTCATTATGGTTTACACAATATTTTAAAATGCTTATTTCAAAGTAAACTGTTACCAAAATCAGAACTCTTCATGAAAATCCACACTCCGAAGCAGACCTTCACCAGTAAACAATTCAGAACATATCTTCCACACTAAGTACTTCAGTGTATCCACACTGGGCCCAACTGTGCCAAAAATATTACTGATTTGTTTACTTAGACATTAACAGTAAGTCACTGCCATTTAAAAATAATATTCATGTGGTTTGGGGTAAAAATATCTAGAAAATACACACAAGCATCTGGAAAGCAAAATCTTTCAGATTCAACCAACACCAGATCCCAGGAAGGGGTTTTTGTTTTGTTTGCTAATGAATAATCTTGAATATATTCTTCCCTTGATAGAACACTCCAGATCAGTTCTGTCAGTGCATTTCAGAAACTCAAGTCTCCAGAGTACAATACCGATTTTAGGAGCTTTTTAGTTACTACAAATTTTCTTATTCTCTTGTTCTCAAACTCAGTGAAATCTGAGGATAACTAAATTTCACACACATTTCAGAGGCAGCCAATTCATTAACACTGTTAACATTTAGGCATGCTTCGTATCAAGGATGCAATATATTCATGAATATATAAAAATGCCCAAATATACAAGCTGAGTTTTTGTACTCTTGTGTCAGTTCTATTTCTTACTGCATTTTATTATGATACTAAAGTAGTTAAGTTACAAGAAATAGCTACCTTAAGCTCTTACTTAAAGGAAAACAGATAGCTTTATTCCCTAATATTAAATTCTTTTCACATTATCTTTTGTGAAGGGTAAAATGACAAAGGTGCTGGCTCTGCTACTCATTCACTCTGTACAACTTGGTAAGAAGCCAACTGTGACTTGAGCTGCCCGTGGGCAGAGCCATTTCAACAGCATTGTCACCAGGTATGGCAGATCTGGAGGCCTTGCCCACTAAGCTGCAGGGAGATACTTGCCCAGCAGAGGTCACAAATTTCTGTGCAGTCCTCTAAGCTACTGGTCACTAACCAGCCCAGTAACAAGCCCCTAGGAATGCCCACATCTACTCAAGTCTCTGCTCTCTAATGGAGAATGGCAAGGCTGCCACACATCTCTTTCTCTGGATGGCTGGAATAATGCAATACCTGCAAAGTCCAGTGTCCCTTTTGTCTGTTGGGTTCTTCTCTATTAGTGATTATTTAACAAATGCTTTCACTTGAAAACTGCCTAAAATGCTCTGTACGTGGAAAAATTTAAAGTATAACTAACTCTGTTACAAACTTTTAAGACTCAAGGCATTTTGTTTTATTGCTTTTGCAACAGTTTTCTTTAAGAAATATTAGCTTTCAGATTTATTAGAGATCAAGAGGCAACACACTCAAGTCACACTACACTCTCTTTGCTTAGGCTTATTCCAGAACCCTGGGAAATCCTTTCACAAAACTTTTGAGTATAGAAGGGTGACAGTGCTCCCATCTACCTGCTTCATGTAAGTCAGGGGGAGAGAGAGACACCGAGATGTTTGTAAAGAGCTGAGTACCTATAGAATAAAGACTCTCATTAGCACATACATATAAAAGCTCTTGTTGACACATGTTCTTATTTGTGTCAAACATGGGGGAACATTTCAAGCCAAAGCACTACTTAGATAAAAGAGGCAATGAAAAGACACTGGAAACCAGGCTTGGTGCACACCTGTAATCCCAGCACTCAAATGGCTGAGACAGGGGATCATGAGTTTGAGGCCAGCCTGGGTTACATAGAGAGACCCTGTCTCAACAACAAAAGAATAACAACAACAAAAAAAGGCATTGTAGCACTATGGCTGTGACATTCCTTATGAGAACATAAAGGATATAGTGCCTGTCTGAGTGTAGGGGATGGATCTCATCAGATTCATTCTTCAGACTTGGTACTGCCACCTAAAGACACCAGAGATGGAAATGCTGCATGGAAATGCTACTCTGTGCCTGTGTGGCACTGACCTCTGGGAGCCAGTTTACTAGGCAGAAAAGCAAAGTTACAACAATGGAAGCTGTCAGTAAATCTATCAGCCATACATTGATTTTACAAAAGCACAAACATTTCTTTCTAAGGCAGGTCTCCTCAAGGCCTCCATCTAAAAGATTCAGTCAATATTTATGTCTGTCAGCACCTCCAAGCAGGGTGACATTTCAGTGACCTCAGGAACCTTGCAGAAGAATGTAGCTACCTGAAGAAAGAATGACACTCAATGAACTGGATTGCTGAAGTTCCCTAAAAGGCCATCAGCCCACAAACGCATGTGGTTGCTGTGAGTCCAAGGAGGCCCTTCTGGGCTCTGTGGTTTGTCACTGGCATTCGTGGCCTTTGTTCCCTGCCTTGACCTCTGCTACCCACACACAGGGGCAATAGACTCCACAGAGCATTCAGAAACTTAGTGTACCAACCTCCTCTCCTCCAGATTAAAGTGAGATAATTCTAAACACATAGTAGAATAAGATAGAAGATGTGCAGTTGATAATTAACAGAACTGAGGTAACTGAAATTTATATTTAAGGTTTTGGTAAAATAAGGCAGGTAGAAAGAAACTAATGCATTTCTGTTTCATTGAGTCACTAGTAATCTGCTAGCATTTGACATAATTTGACAACAGTTTGACAGCTCCTGCAAGTTCAAGGATCCCAATTAGTCATAGTAGCCCTGAAAGGGACATTGTATCTTTACAAATCATGTGGATTATTATGAAGGACATATAGCAACATTTAATTCAGAATGCAAATGTTGGAATCCACAGTATACCAGAGGGGGGGAAAAACTATTTCAAAAGACACATGTATCAAACCAAATGAATGAATTCTTCAAGAGTGTGTGAATTAGCAACAGGAGAATTCCTTCCAGGCAGGAAGGAAGCCACCTAACATTAGTTTTTGGGGCTGGCACAGAGCTAAAAATCTATAGTTTCATAGTGCACCTTATCTTTGGTGTCACAGTGCTAAACAGTTTTTTTTGGGGGGGGGCTTCTCCCATTAAAATTAATGGCTTCTCCATTAATTTTAAATAAATGTCAGGATCTACTGGACTCTTGTGGCAATAATTATAAAATAGGTTGGTCCCCAAAAGTGAGTAGCTACAATGGACGGTGATAAGGAGCAAGTGCTCCTGTTACTTGAAGTAAGCCCTTGAAACGGGTATCTTCTTAAGAGAGTTTCAAAGCCAAAGATCTGAATAAACCACTGTTTCTACTTAAGATGATTAAAGGCCTGATCACCCAATGCTTTTCAAAAGACTAATCTTTGATCAAACCCTATATGAGAAGTATTATAAGGGACTATTTTCATGGTACTTATCTTCCTGGGAAGCAAGGTTTGGTGCCATTTTAAGTAAGAGAACTATCATGCAGCTGACTCCCACTTCGTGAGTCTCTGATAGCTTGCTTCTTGGTAGCAAGGTAATGGTGTTTTGTACCAGTGTACTACTCTCTCAAACAGAAAAGTGGTGGAGAAAGGTGTTCCTCAGTCAAGCTTACTGACTCAACGTTCAGTACATCACTATACAGATTCCACTCCTTTCCTTATTTACATATTCACTTTGACTCTGCTTTTTCCAATAAGGATTTGAAAAGAAGCCAGATCTCGATCAAAGAATTCATGTGATCAACATTTAGAAAGGCATCGCTCATTGCAGCTCCTGATATACCTCGTCAAGGCAGAGACAGCACTTTTTACTGAGGTATTACTATATCCCTGCAGTGGGAATTTTTAGATCTGAAGGAAATAAATGGTGGTGCACACCTATACTCTTAGTACTCAGGAGACTCACGCAGAAGGATGCCAAGTTCAAGGCCAACCTGGGCTACATAGTGAGATGCTATCTCAAAAACAAAAGTATGAATGAAAATAACTTAAATTCTAAGGTCATCTCAATTTTGTTCTTTAGTAGGGCGTCCTTTTCTCTCTGAATACTGGGCTTCTGGGACACTGTGAGGTAGGATTTCAGCAGGAAGAGTTGAGATGTGGGTATCTCTTGACCTCTGCTAACACTAGTTTTGAAATCCTCAGAAAGATGGCTAAGTGCTAATCTAGCTTTTACTCGCTTTACTCTGCAACAAATCATGCCAACACCTGTATATCTCTTTTGAAGGTTTTACTGGCTTCTAGGTATCCTTATCTTCAATGATTTTCTCTTTAAAGAGTTCACAGTGTTGCCACTGTGAGGTTAGGAGAGGCACAGATAATCATCCGTAAGAGAAAAACCCGAGACACATGTCCTGTAATCTATCTAGAGGTCACTATTGACCAGGCTCAGAACTGATAGCTTCATTTCTCACTAGGCTGCATACCCCTTCATTTATTCGCATCAAAATCTAAGGACATTTATGATTTTCCCCTCTGGGTCACTAGATGTATAAGGTAAAGACTTATTTCTTAATACTGTATAGTTTTAAGGGTATACTTAATAACCAAACCGAGCTATTGCAATACGGAGCTGAAATACCAAGATACATACTTTGGTGGTGAGAGCATGAATTGTGACATGGATTCAAACCTCAGTTTAGTGACTGTGACTCTGGGCAAACTGAAGAACCACTGGAGTCCTCGTTACTTAAGCGGGACAATGGTTCCTCTTGGGAACACTATCAAATGAACTGTAATACAGCAGCATGCTCAGTAACTGGTCGCTGAGGCCACCTGGCCACCCTAACCGCAGAGGTGAGACTCTGGTTCAGCTCAGGGGGAGATGGTAAGGTAGCCATGTAAGGAAGGCCTGGTAAAATCGCGGATGGAGGGACAGGTGGCCTCCTGGGCGGCAGGCTGTGGGTGCACCTCCACGGGAGGGCGGGGGGATACGCGGCTGTCACTCACGCGGGGGTGACGCCCTTGGGCAGCCCCAGAGCGTTGACGGCCACGGGCGGCGGCTGCGAGGGCAGCAGGGAGCTGAGGAAGGCGGCGGGCGTCTGGCCGTGACCCAGGCGGGCCCCGGGCGAGGCGCAGAGCGACCCGGGGCCCGAGCTGGGCAGCGGTGGCGGCGGCGGCGGCAGCGGGAACACGTCGGGCACCGGGAAGGCGGAGGTGGGGCTGAAGACCGGGGGCGGCGGCGGCGGGGGCGACGGCGAGGACGGGCACCACGCGGGCTCGGGCTCGGCGCCGAAGGGCTGCCCGAAGGGCCCGGGCGCGCGGCCGAACGGCTTCAGCGTGGGGGACAAGGGTGACGGCAGGCTGGAGGTGGCGGGGCTGGAGACCGGAGTGCCGGAGCCGGACGCGGAACCCAGGTTCTGCGCTGCGATGAACTGCTTGGGGCGCGCGTAGTTGAAGGAGCCGGAGGACTGCATGGCGGCGGCGGCGGCCGAGCGGGAGGCGAGCGCGCTCATGGGCTCCGCGCCGGCGGGCGACGCGCAGGCCGCGAGCTCCGGGGACGCGGGCGGCGGCGGGAAGGGCGGCGAGGGCGGCGCGGGGGGCCGAGCGCGCGCCTCCTGCTCCTGGCGGATCTGGTGCTGCAGTTGCTGGATCTTCAGGGGGTCCCTGCGACAAAGAGGGAGAGAGAGAAAGCGACGCGGTCAGACAGGGAACTGGAGGAATGAGTGAGTAGCTGACCGCGCATGCCACCTCCAAAGGGTTGGGAGAGGTTTGGTCCTGGGCAAAGCGATCCATCAGTTGGTTATGATGGGTAATGTCCATGGCTGATGTAGAGCTTTTGCAGATGGTGATGAACGTTTGTCCCACCTGCAAGATCAATATTGTTTATCTATGTATTTAATTTTAATTATTTATTTATTTGGTGGTACTGGGGTTTGAACTCAGGGCCTCACTCTTGTTAGGCAGGCACTCTACCACTTGAGCCACACCTCCAGCCCTTTCAGATAGGGTCTCACTTTATGGCCAGGCTGGCCTGGACTGCAGTCTTCCTGTTTATGCTTTCCTGTTTAGCTGGGATGACAGGTGTGACCCACCACACCCAGCTTTTTATTGGTTGAGCCAGGGGCTCTTCTGAAACTGTGATCCTTCCCAATCTTTGCCTTCCAAGTAGCTAGCATTGCAGGCTTGAGTCACCCATGCCCGGTTCACGGTTCAAGAGGTGTCTTTTTTTTTTTTCTTAAGAGCTACTTTATTCTCTGTTTGTTCCCTGAAAAACAAAAAATAAAAAAAAACCAAAAAACTTTACTATGTGCAAATTTTAGTAGGAAACTCTGAATTGCCAATTATTTATAGAACCCTTAATACATGCCAGTATGTGTGCCACAGCTCAACATATGTAAATAGGTGACATCTGCCTTTATCATGTGTCTAATAAGCAATAACAAGTTAATAATTTTATACTAATGTTGCAGATTTCATTTCCCAACTATTTTTCCACTGGGAAGAGTTCAGATTTTAATTTTTGAAATAAAAGTAAGCAGCTAGCACAATTAGCTAAAATCTTACATCTTCCTCTTTAGCTCACTTGCACATCTAAGATGTTTTTCTTTTAATCATGGTAGGTAAACATAAGAACCATAGGGCTGCCAAAAGAAACTTTGACAGAAGGTGGCAATGTATCAAGCAGATAAAACAGCAACAGTTCCACAAAAAGGCAAAGGTACGCATCTAACTTTAAACCTTAAAAATAAAGCAGAACTTTCTTATATTCCTGAGCATTTAATCTTCAAAAATAAAGCTTTCAGAAACTCAAAGCAATTGAACTGCTGATAAAAAGTCAAAAAAGATAACAAAATCATCAAGTGTCATTAGCAAGTTCTAAAGTCCTTCCTGTGTCTTTTACTCCCTTCTATAATTATCCCATAAAATGATTATGCTTAAATCCATGAAAAGACAAAATGAGTAACTTTCTTGAGAACTGAAAGGAGTAAAGAGAAGATGTCCCTGTATCCTTAATCTGTACAGAGCATCAAAGATTCTTAACAACAAAGGTCTTTGTGGGGTCCGACTGAACTGAATTAGAACATTTCAAAAGCAGTCATACCACTTGCTGGGCTTCACTGCTGCCCTGAAGTTCCAGATGTGTGTGTGGCTTGGTAGACGGTCTAGCACATGTGCTCCTGCTTCATGTGTTCAGAGCTGGCCCAGGAACAGACTCATAACATCCACCCACCACTCTAAACCCCCTTGCCTAGCACTCTCATTCTGATTTCCCAGATGCAGCATCCTGATCTGCCTTTACCATTTCTTTATTTTTCCTACCTATGGCAATATACATTCTATTCCTGGAATCGTCTCCCACACTCAATGACCACTGCACCTGGGCTGGAAGCAATCTAGGGGCTTTCCTCAAAGTCTTCATTCCCCCAATCTTGCCAGCCTGGGCTACCAGTGGTCAGAGAGCCACAGCTGTGTTTGAAGGTATAAGTGTGACTTGCATCAGGAAATAAATAGTCCTGTGATGTGGTTTTACCGAAGCTGCTACAGAAACCACATCATACCCTGTGTCTGGTGTGAGGCTCCATTTGCTCCAGGATTAGAGTGGCTTCTGAGAAGACACCTATATTATTTCTAACTTTTGCCACAGGTACAACCTCCTCATGCAAGCAGTAAAAAGAATGACCAAATTTGCTAACAAAAATTTGTATAGAGTGGCTGAGGTGTTACTTTTAGTAAAGTAACAGTTCAAAACATTACAGACAGGTGTGGAGGCTCACATCTGTAATCATAGCTATTTGGGAGGCCAAGATTGGGAAGATCACACTTGAAGGTCAGCCTAGGCAAGAAAGGTTTGTAAGATACCATCTCAACCAATCGCTGGGTGCCGTGGTATGCATCTGTCATTCCAATTATGTATAACACAAAGCAAAAATGGGAGGATCATGGTCCAAGCTGGCCCAGTCAAAAAACTGAGACCCTACCTCAAAATTAACCAGAGAAAAAAGGGCGAGAGGCATGGTAGAGTGACTGCCTAGAAAGTGCAAAGACCTGAGTTCAAACTCTAGTATAGTCTGGTAATTGTATATTGCAAAATTTTTTTAAATGGCTGCTAATATGTATATTGCAATGAAGAACTTTGCTCTTTCTACTCTCATTTTTCAGTGGTTCAGCACTAGGTGAAGAATATAAAATGCAGGGAAGCAGAAGTGGTGGGGCAAGATGGAGCAAAAACACTTAATTTGCATCTTCAGGTGTCTGTCTGACTTGATTTCTTTGCAAGTGATAATTTATTTAAGCACCAAATTGAAATGGATTGAACACATGGATTCTGAGATGATGAAATGCACAATTTTAAATCATTTTCTCCTCCTCAAGTTATTTTTATAAAAGTTGACTTTCACAGAGATAAAAAACAAACAAACAAAAAAAGCAAAGAGAACAAAAGGTACCAGAAAGTCAAGATGGTCTATGGCCTTTGGAAATAAAAGTTATTTATTATAAAAATAGTCACTTCTTTGGTTTCCTCCTCCTTTTTTTTCTGCTGTCCTTTCTCTGAAAATGAAACAGGGACACAAAGCTGTATCTCTTGAAAAACTGTTAGGTTAAGAGTTCAAACTAGTCCTAGTCACAGGTATGCTTTCAGTGTCATATTGTTTAAACCTTCAGTTTTGTTCAACAAATTCATCAAACTCCTCCCAGCTTCTTTTTCTCTTATCCTCACTACACCCACAATTCAAAAAGCCTAAGAAACTCTACACTCTTACCCATCTTTCAATTCTGAATGTTTCAATGCTCAAGGAAATAAAAACATCCTGACTTCCTGTTGAGCACCTGTCATGGTCCATTTACAAACCAGAAAAGAGATTCAAAGTAGCTTGCTCAAGATCACAGAGCAAGTTACCTGCCGGGCCAGGTTAGAACCTGTGTCTTCCCTTCACTGTTCTTTCACTACACCAGGCATGCCAACATCAAAGAACTTTTGACCTTCAATGTTACTTAAAAAAAAAAAAAAATCTGTCTCATAGTTCCCTCTTAAGAACTTCATTTATTCTTCTGCTTCCTTGCCAGGATAGCATCCAAGGCTGTTAGGATAGTCAAAATTTTAAATATTTAAGAATATGTGACTTCAAACTTTATACTTCTTAGGGTGGAATGGTGCAGAGATCATAAAGTCTTGGTGGTTTAGGAAAGAAATAGGTAAGTGCTAACTCAATAATTCCTTTCTATATTACAGAAAATTGGGAAACCCCCATCCATCCCAAAGTTTGCACAAAGCTTATAATAACAATAATTTTACAAATAGTTGGATTGGGCAAATATTTAGGTTTGATAAATAGAAGTGTAAACCCAATCTACTTTCCACTTCAGTCATCTCCCCATACTAGATTAAAGCAAGCTTGGGAAAAAGTAAGCAGACAAAAAAAAAAAAAAAACAAAAAAAACCCACAGGAGCAGCAGCAGAGGTAGAAGAGAAAAGGGCTAGATTCAGTCAGGCTGTCCTGGTTTGGAACCCAGCTTGGCTACCCACTGGCTGTGGGGTCTTTGGAAGGAGTAAGCAAACACCATGTCTGGTTCATAGAATGAATGCAAAAAACCTTCCACATCAGAAGGGAATAAGAACATCAATTCTGGTGACTTTACAAAATGGACCTTTAAAAACTGGGGACAATGTTCCACTTAGTGCAGGGGATTTTCCTTATCACCCGTTCCCACTGTAAGTGGCTAGCAAAGGAGCAGCAGTGGCAGATGGGGAGGTGGGGACCTAGAGGTGGGGTGTGGAGGGGGGAGGGGTGTGACTAAGATGGTTGGTTTCAGCGTCACTCCTCTCCCCTTCTCCTAGTCAAAGCACAGTCATCAAATGCCTAGCACTGGACTGATTCATTTACAACGACCTTGGAAGGAGCGGTTATCATCCCCAGTTTTTTAAAGTCCCCAGAGGAATGAGATCAAGGGATTTGTCTAAGGGCAGAAGCTAAATGTGAGAGGCGGGTTGGCTCGCAAAGCCTTGTGCTGGATCATTCTCTCCAAAGTGTTCAGCAACAAAAAACATTTTGCTAAAATGTTTGTTATTATTACTACATACTGCTTTTTCTTTGGAGAACTGCTGCCTAGCTCAAAATAAATGTGTGAAAGAGAAACTTTTGGAAAACAACTTTTATGCAAATTGGAAATTCCCCATATGTCTCTAGAGAAGCAAGGCTGGATTGCAAGAAATAATCTGCCCCCTGCTCACACTAATAAAGATGGAATATTCATAATTATCTAGAGAAATTTGGGCTCATGGAGCTGGAACACATTGTGATTCAAGAATAAATCTGCTGTTTATGCATTTTCTTTTGGTTTTCATTGTGTAATACAAAAGCCATTGTAGGATGAAGAGTTGAGGCACCGCACCCTCCGAACTCTAAGCTTCTCTGGTCCTGCTATTTATTCAGAAGTGACTCTGAAGGCCGGACTGGAACTTTCAGCATTGTCCTGCCTCTCAACCAAACAGTGTTGCTGGGTGTATTCAGGAGGATAGACCTACATTTGGAGGACTCCATACTAGACTGAGGGAGTTTAAGAATTTTCAAGTGAAGGTAGATTTTTGAATTATGGTGTTCCCCCAACCTATTCCTCTATGGCTCAGTCTACCTGAGTACCATGCATGAGAGCTCAATATATTG